GACGCTGGCCCCTCGCGGGGGGCACGTGAGCTCCCGCACAGGGCGTGGGGTTGGGGGGCCTCAGCCTGCAGGCTGGCCCTGCTCCGGGTGGGTCCGCTCCTCGCCTGGGTCCCCTGCTGCGCTCCCTGGGGGCAGAGGACGAGACCCGCGCCGCCCAGCGCCGGCCGCCGGCCACAGCCTGCCCTGTGCCTCAAGGCCTTCCTCAGCGCGGCCTGGCAGGGCTCCCTGCCCAGGGCGCCAGTTCTGCCAGGCGAGGGCGCCACGCCCAGACGCCGAGCCCCCCTCATGGTGATCATCTCGGGAAGACTCGCCCCAGCACTTTAGGGGTCACAGGTAATCAGTCGCGGGCTGGGTGGGGCAGCGCCCCCCTAACGCCTTCGCAGCCTCGGAGGCCGGCAGCAGTTGGTGTCTCAGCGCTGGCCCGGAGCAGGCCACTCGGCAGCAGAGGGAGGCGGCGGGTTTCGCAGGCTCCTCAGAGAAGACCCCAGGGGGCCTCAGGCAGGCGCAGCGCTCAGGGCGCCGCCCTGCGAGCCGCCACAGCCCTGCAGCACGCGGTCGTCGCCGGCCAGGGGGGACCCCAGGGCGCAGCCGACCCCTCCTGTCTCCCGCGGCCCTCGGCGGTGTGTTTCTGTCTGTCTGCCTGTTCTGCTCCCCACTCAGTCTCCGGGGCAGCCCCTCCCCCCCCCGCACCTCTGGTTTGTGCCCCAATTCTTGTGTGCATAAATAAATACATTTTTTTTAAACGATGCTCAGTGTCTTACTACTAAGGGAAACGCAGATGGAGACCACAGTGAGCTGCCACTTCACCCCCAGCAGGATGGACCAGGGTCACCCGGGGTGCGGGGACATGTGAACACCCCCTTGCCCCAGGGGCTGGGAGCGGACCCTGCTCTGGCACACTGCGCCTTCCAGGTGGAGCCGGCGCGGGAAGGGCAGGGGCGGAGGCCACACTGCAGGCGGCAGCTGCTCCGGGTGCGGGGTCCCTGGCGCCTGCGGGTGCGGCCACGGCCGCCGGCCGAAGGGTCTGGGCCCCCCTGGGTCCGCAGTGGTGCCGAGTGGGCGGCGGGCGCTGCGGCTGCGTGTCGGTGTGCAGAAGGGTGAGCGTGCACTCCCGACCCCGTTCGACTTGTCCCGGAGCGCGAGGCCACACGTGGCGCCCTGATTCTTCCCAAATATTCTGGACTCGCCGCACACTCCCCACGCGGGCTCCTTTCTAGGCACTTGGCTACGTTTGGTCTGTTGCTGGCACATAAACGAAACTGGCTGGCAGGCGGTCCCGGAGGGCGGCTGGGTGGCGGAGAGGCCTGGACTAGGGGCGCCCCGGAATGGCCATCTGTGAGCCACGGAGAGCCACGGAGCGCGTGGCGTCATAGAGAATGGACAAACTGGCGAGCTGAATGTTCTGTGCGTCTGACGTTACCATACAGTGAGAGCGAAGAGAATGTTTAGGACAAGAGCCTGAAAGGCAGGAGAACGCGGCGCCCGAGACTGGGCAGGGAGAGGCGGGGCGGGGCGCGGCCGGCAGGCGCTCTGGCCAGTGTCCCGGCGCCCGGACGCGGGCATGGAGCAGGCCTGCGCCCTGGCTCCGCGGGCGCTCGGGTCTCCCCTGAGCTGCTGAGGGCTCGCTGATTGGTACTGACTCTGGGTCTCGCTTCCCGGTGGACAAGGTCAGCACACCGCAGCCGGGCAGAGCAGAGTCCAGGCGGAGGAGGGGAGGGCCGCCCGCGGGTACAGCCTCCTCCGCAGCAGGCCGGCGCCGCCCTCCACGTCACTGTGAGCAGCGCAGCTACCGGCCCGTGGGGTCCACGGGAGCACAGAGCCCGCGGCGCTCAAACACGAGTTCCCGAGACCCGCGAGTGCAGCTCCGCCCGCCCTGGGCACCACACTCCGTGAGCCGAGGGACGGAAACCTCCGGTGACGGGGCGGCGGCCGCCTTCCCTTCTCCCGCGGAAGGCAGAAGCGGCAGACCCCTGGCGGGAGCGGGGGCGCGCCCTCCTGGCTCCGGTCCCCCAGCGCTGGGCTCTGCTTTGGGTGCCCGCGCTGGGCTCTTTCTCTCCGAGCAGCCGTTCCCACGGGCGTGGGCATCCCCAGGCGGCACCCCCTCGCCGCTTGATCTTGACCTCCCGAAGAAGCAGCAGATCGCCAGCGTCGCCTCATGCGGCTGCTGCTGTTGGCCACCTGCGTGTCTTCGACATTCCTAGTCTCTGTCCGCTTTTCACTCAGAATGCGTGGTGTGGCCGCTGGGTTTCATGAGCTCGTTCTGCTTCTAGCTATTGGCCCTTTGTCACGGCGCGTGCGCCTTCGGGAGGGAACTTCTCGGTCTGATACAGAAGCTTTAGTTTGCTGCGGCCCACGGCTGGCTTCTTGCTCCTGTATCCCTTGCCGAGCGCGTCAGCGCCGAGGACAGGCCTCTAGGTCTCCTCTGTGCACGTGCGGCCTCAGGTCTTACACTGAGTCTCTAACCCATTTCAGTGGACTTACGTGTCTGGTGCGCAACCGCGTCCCCGCTCCCTCATGGTGCATGCAGCTCCCACTGTGCCAACACCATTTCCTGAGGAGACAGCCTCTGCTCTGCTGCGTGCTCTTGGCGCCTCTGTCGTGAGCCGCGCTGGCATGGTTTTACTTATGAGTTTTCCATCCTCTTTGTTTGATCTGTGTGTTTATTTTGATCTCACTGCCATGCTGTTTTAAGTACCGCCCTTTCGTTGTGTAGTTGAGGTTAGGGATTTCACTTCTTCAGAAGTGTTTGTGCTGTTCGGCGTCTTCGGTAGTTCCAGATGAGTTTCATTATTTCTGTCCTGTTTCTATGAAGAATCCTGTTGAGTTTTTCATAGGGATCATATGTTGTTTTAGGTAATATATCCCTTTGAACAATGTAAATTCTTCCACTCCGCAAAAAGTTGTGTATTGATCAGGATCTTTGTCTGGTTTTGCACTGTATTTGTTTTATGTTTTATATTATAAAAAATCAGCGGTAGGATTAAATGTAAGGAAAATCACCTTAGCAAGCAGCATCATCCCCCAGACGAGACTAAGAAATTCAAAGGGCAAATAACCCCTCAGTTAGAGTGAAGAGTCTCAGCAGCGGGGCGTTGGTGAGTAGACGTCAGACTGACTGTAGCGTCCACTACGACCTAGAGTGTGGGGCCGAGCCGATGTGTTCTCCTAGTGGGTGTGGGCTGTGTCACCGACGTGAGCCAGTGCCCCCCGGCCCCCGGGATTCAGCCACCTGAGCTTCTAATGTCACTTCCCTGCTGTATCTGCACAGGAATCCACATATGTGAGAAAATTCGCTCATCCACAAACAAGAATAGTATATAATTTTATTTCTAAGTTGGTTGCTGTGTTATTTTTAGAAGTCATTGTGTGCATAGGATGGCAGAGAATGACAGTTGTGGAGAGGCGAAGGCTTCCCACACGCGGCTGAGCTTGTGACCCGGCATGAAGCCCTCAAAAGCCGGATGCGGTCACGGCCTGGTGGTGCCGGCCTGCTTGTGGTGCGCACGGAAGAGGGGACGCAGACACACCCTCGCTCAGCCCAGGCCACCCAGTGCGAGTGTCCACGGGCGCACGGGTGAATGGAGTGTGGGCTGGACGAGCTGCTCCCCGGAGACCAGGCCGCCAGGCGCGTGCGCACAGAGGCAGGTCTCGAACGGCGGACCAGAAAGCTGGCCGGAAGGTGATAGTATCTTTGCACAAGGAGGTTTGCTTCAAGGCAGTCCCCACGGGGACCCGTGGGAGGACGCCCCGAGAGCTGGCTCCCCCACGGTGTAGGTGGGGGAGGGGCGTGCGGGCTGTGGGATGTGACCGGCTGGGCCCCCGGAGCCACGGCTGCTCCTCCCCTCGCCCCAGCAAACGTGGGGTGCGTGTCAGGCGACACGCCCTGTGCCAGGTTCCCCGAACGCCATGGGCGGGAACTGCATCATTGCCTGGGCGTCAGACTCCTCACAGGAGGCAGTGGGGCAAGAGAGCGCAGAGGCAGGTACATTTAACGCTGTCTCACGCCAGTTTTAGTCCAGTGGAGTTCTGTTGCAAAACGGGTTTGGACGCCGTGTCCAGCCTCTCACTGCCGGACAGTCAGCCTCGCTGTTTGACGCCGGCGCTCAGACCCCGAGCAAGGCCGTCGGCACTCGGCACAGACGCCTACCCAGCCATGCAGTGGAGTACTATGCAGCCCGGAAAAGGCAGGGGGCTGACGCTGTGCCACGTGGGTGAAGTTGGAGGCGTGGCGCTGGATGAGAACGGCCAGTTACACAGACCGGGTGGGCCGGATTCCCCATGAGCGGGAGACCCAGGGCCCCCCAAGTCAGAGCGGGTGGGTGCCTGGGGGTGGGGAGACCCCTGCAGGGGGAGCAGTTCAGTTTGACAAGGTGAAAGTTCTGGAGAACCTGGTGGGTGATGGTGGTGCAACAGCACAAACCTGCTTCTCAACACTGAATTGAGATGAAGCAGTTAAGGTGGTAAATTTTATGTTGTATTTTTAATTACAGTATTTTGAAATCTGGGGCAGAGGAGACACTGCAGGCTACGGGCAGGGTCCTGCGATGCCAGATGCTGTCCTCTGCACCAGGACAAGGGCGTGGACCTGCAGAATCCGAGTCTCCTGCAGAGCAACAGGATGAGACCCAAGGGTGCAGTGACCTGACCTGGTCACATCCTGAACTCGAACCCAGAGCCTGGAACCCGGACGCACCTGGGCCCAGAGCCTAGAGCCAGGTCACCTGTGTCGAGAACCTAGAGCTGTCATCCGCGCGCTGGGGTTTCTGCCCCTCACAGCTGCTTGCACGTGGAGTGCCGACACGCACAGGCTTACCCACAGGGAGCGGGTCTCTTGTCTGGGATCGGGCAAGGATCGCGCATTCAAGAGTCACCTACACTGAAGACAGATTGAAGAGCGGGGCGCAGGGAATGTGTACGGGCATCGTGATGCCCCTCCTGAGGGAGTGCCAACTGGGGCCCGGCCGGGGCGCCCGGCTGGGCGTGTTTAGCTTTTGAAATGCCAGAGGCTCGTTAGACAGCTTGAAGTATGTAAACAGATCATGCTCTTGGTTAAGAGCATGGAAATCACCTTCTTCTTTTTCAGTAAAACGGCGGAACAAGCAGCCTGTGGGGGAATCGGCCGGGCAGCCGGCAGGGTCACGCTGACTGCTGTCAGCTCAGAGTCGGCCCCAGTCTGCGCAGCTCGTGAGCTCGCCCCAGTGTGCCGGGCTCTTCCCGTGACTCTGCTGTCACCTAACGTAGCCTTCACGCATCTGCACCTGCTGGCTCAGGAGGACCGGCTGGGTGCCTCTGCACTGGCACCCACCTGGCCTCAAACTGGCCGAACGGGCGAGGGAGACGCCGGGCAGCGTGGGGGCGTTGCGCAGGGACCCCGCAGCGCCCTGCAGGGAGAGGCCAGGCTCCGCCC